CCTGTGATGGGCCAATCCTTCGTACATCTAATATCATGTAGTCCAGGTTGGATGCCAGGTCGTTCCTCAGGGTGAGTTCTATGTTGGCATCTTGGTGGTAGTATGCCATCACTCTCGGCCTGTCACCTTCAGCGATGGGCTGTTTTGGTAGGATGGTCTGCCACCCCTTGAGGGTGACTGGGATGTGATTGTCATTTAATCTGTGCCACCAGGGCTCTTGTAATAAAAGGATGCCAAATGCGGGTTTGTTCTGCTTGGTGATGTTGTGCATGGCAGCTTGTGTTATGGAAATGGGAATTTCCAATCTTAGACTCTTATGGGTTCTGTATCACATGATTTGTATAGTAATAGAGAAATCCAATCAATCATCAACCAAACAATGTCTTTGTGATAACTTCTATAACAACATCTGTGCTAACATTGGTGCCACCCCAGTCACATCCAGGAATCCAGTGACCTTCTGCGCAGGAACCAAGGCCCCAGAACCTTGCATTGAGGCCCCCAGAGATCACCAGAGGGCGATTCTGCTTCTGCAGCAAGTTCTGGAGGAGTTCTCTAGTGGAACGCTTCCAGATGCATGCGCACCACTGGAGTTGCTGTTGGAATGGAGGCAGTTGTCCCTGGAGTCGATCGGGATGGAACACAAGTACAATCGGGCCACTGGAGCACCCCTCTATCGCCTGGAACGCCCGCGCCACCATCAATTGCGCTTTATTGTCCAAGAAGCGTGAAAATTCACTCAAGCGGCAGCAGCGCTGGGACTTATGCCCTGCGATTTCGAGGTGGACTCATGCGATACTTGCGTGGCATTGTGTGGAGGATCTCAGCTGAGTATCACCCATCTGGCTTGGGACTTTTTGATTGGGAGATTGGCTAAGTTTTGTTTACATTTCAAACACATCAAAGAGGCTGTTGCCTCATATTTGCTCAAAATGGGGCCTCCTAGTGCTATTCTGACATGCTCCCAGCCACTCCCAGCCACTTCCCTCCCAAAAACTCTCATTCCAACTGTTGATGAGTGACACTTGATCTCGGAGCTGGACTATAAGTGGGAAGCTCAGTCTCAGCTAATATGCGTGAAGAACTGAGGGAAAAGGAAATGAATTCAAATGAATGAATATATCCATGGCCTGGCATGGGTTAGTCCGAAATAATATAAAAGAGGTGTTGTGACTAAGTAGTCACGCTACCGTGGGAATGTGGCTGTCCGGGCAAGTTCCTCACTTGGATATGGGAATGTGGCTGTACAAAAACTCATCCGGCCTCCCATAGCACATGGTTCCTCCAACAAGCCATACCAAAGTAAACAAACAACCAAAATGCACTCTGGAGTGCTCAGAAAAATTCAGAAAAATCACAAAGGATGTGTATGAAGATCCAATTGACATGGGGACTCTTGTGGACACATTCCGGGATGTCTAACCCTGCGCACGGGCCAAATTTCATGATTCTCACGCCCACCACTCGGTCAAATCTCAACCATTTGGGACAAATTTGGTATTGGGAGAAAGCTACAAACCCGGGGGATCGAATGGAGAGGTCAGAAAGAGATGCTATGGGTAGGAAGAGATGGATGAGTGTGGTGTGATGGTGGAAATTGGTGGAGGATGGAAATTATTAGCAGATATGGCCTGCTTATCACTCCTGTCTTTCTTTTATTGAACTTCCACAATGGCCGTTGGACTTATGAGCTGTACTTAACGGTCCACATGGTGTCTGTAACAATCTTTCGTTTTATATTTTCTTTTCATTTGTTTTTCCACATTATTGCCATTCCATGTGTTTAAAAGCTCTGTACACATAGGTGTCAGGGCACACACCCTGACTAGCCCGGACCCAGACCCACATCCGGACCTGCTACACTTCCCATGTGCACTTCCTGCACCGCATGCTCCACGTGCCGCATGATCCGGCCCCGGATCCTGCCCTCATGTGACTTCCGGGTATCCCCGGAAGTTTTCACCATATTGGGGCCACTGTGGGAAAGTGAGAAGTTAACCTTTCTTACCCACAAGTGTAGCCTACTCTCTATTTATCTATACACTTTCTTACCCACAGTAGGTTGTGCCTTAGGATAGGCTGTTTACACATAGGGCTGTGGGCCATAGAGAGAGGGGCCATGGGGACCCAGGATGAAAGGTTTGCTTACTATTTTGGGGACGGTACGTTCCGTTCCCCCGTTTGCCTCAGGCCTCAGGTAGTCCGTCTAAATATAAGCTTTAATGTGCTGTATATTCAATGGGGTAGAGGTAAAAGGCTACTGGGCCTTTACAACTACTCCAAGGTATATATATGTAATTTACATATCTCTGTCAGAGACCGGATTCGAGACGAGGGGAGGGCTTCGGCCTCAGCGACTTCTGCCAAGAGCGCTGTGCCTAGTGACACATCCGTGCCCTCACTTACTGACTGGCAATCAGAACCTAAGGGGGTAACTCTAGTTGATTTTATTACTGGAGTGTAACCTATGTACAAGCGGGATATATATATATGGTTACAGTGAAGATGGGTCCGCAATTGGCGGAGCTGAACGGAGTGGAGCTAACGGGGATAAACATTAGCTGACTGAATATTACCGACGAGTCGGTCGCGGGGTTAGCGGAATGGCAGGCGATAACCCAGAAATGGAAAGGAGGGATAATGTCACGGCCATGCATTCCGGCCCATTAGCTGCCCGTCCCGATGCCGCCCGAGCCTGTTACCGCTATGCGAGCATGAGCGTGAGCCCCAACCTCAGCCCTATTCTCCATGAGGACTCCCTGCTCACTCCCCCGCTTGCCCCTAGGCTCCCCTGCACCTGGCCGACTCCCCAACAGCCACACCAACCTTCCCACCCTGAGTCCGCCTCCGGCACCGTGCCCAGTGCGACTCCCCTACCCTGCCCACTTGGCCCCTACAGGGCCACTATCATCCCCGCACCCGACTCCGGCCCAACTCCGAGTCCAGCGCCGCTACGATACCATCGCCGCTATTGCGGCCCTACGCTCCTTTGTTTATTTATCTGTTATTGTTTGTTTTGACCCTCGGTCATTGCCGGCCGCTGTGCGGCCAACCCCGCTCCTTATTCATGTTTGCTTCCGGACCCTTCGGCCTTCGGCCCGGGTCCGCTTCCATTCATTCCTTCCTCCTATATATATCCTGTATACTATACTATAGTACTTTAGCTCTAATATCAATGTGACCACGACCCCTAAGTCCTGACCCCAACAAGGCAACCCCAGTGAGTCCGAAATGAGGGCCAAGAGACAACTAGGGGGCACAGCGCTCCTTTAGAGTCGCTGAGGCCAAATGCCCTACCCCCAGGCCTTGTTTGCGGCATCACGGCCATCGCAGCCTATAGCGGCCTGCATAGGCGACCTTCGGTGCCGACCCCGGATCAGTGTCTAACAGATAAGCCCGAAGGTGGGCTCTGCAGGGCAGGCAATTGTATTGCCCAGCGGAGGCAGGGGTGCACTAGCGGACGTCGGAGCTGTCCGGAAGTCTTCAGGGCTCCATACTTAGGGAGGCGTAGGTAATAAATTGGAATGAGGGGGTGGTGACCATCGAGGGGTACCGGGGAATATGGGAACTCCGAGGTTAGTGAAGGAGGAACAGAGTTAGACCAGAGGGAACGGAGGGGCCGGAAGTCGATGGCCGGGGATGGATATGACAATCTTGGCACAAATAAATAAAGAAAGAACAGCATCACTATAATGGGAATTATAGCGATGCAAATATATAAATATCACTATAATCGGAATTATAGTGAAGTAAGGTTAATCCCTTACACAGGAGTTGTCCCCTGACAGTAGGAATGGAAAAGCGACCTCCCTTTTGACTACAAAGAGACTGTAGCACTGAGAGATCCAAGTAAGAGAAAGAAATTCTAAGCTTGACTCCTTGAGGATTATAAGGAATCCCTGATGATTGTCCAAGATGGACCAGGGGTACATAATTCTTAACGAGTTTTTGTGATTATTTTTGTTTTGTTAGCACCTGGACCAAACCTAGGACGAGCTTAAGACATCTGTCAGAGACTGGATCGAGACAAAGGATTGTCTCCATGGCAGAGGGCTTCAGCCTCAGCAACTCAAGCCAGGAGCACTGTGCCAAGTTACACGTCCATGCCCTAATTTACTTACTGGCAATGAGAACTAAGGGGATCAACTCTAGTCGATTTTATTACTGAGGTGTAACCTATGTACAAGTTGAGTATATATAGTTACAGTGGGGGCAGGCCCATAAATGGCAGGGCTGAGCGGAGCAGAGCTAACGGAGTTAAACATTAGCCAATTGAATATTACCGACAAGTTGGGTTATGGGGTTAGCAGAATGGTACACGATAACCCAGAAATGGAAAGGAGGGATAGGCCCGAAGGTGGGCTTGCAGGGCAAGTGAGTGAATTGCCCAGCGGAGGTGGGAGTGCGCTAGTGGATGTCAGAGCTGTCCAGAAGCCTTTGGGGCTCCATACTTAGGGAGGCGTAGGTAATATATTGAAAAGAGGGGGTGGTGACCATCGAGGGAAGCGGAGGTGATTGCAGAATACGGGAGCTCCAAGGTTAGTGAAGAAGGAGCGGAGGTAGTCTGGAGGGACTGGAGGGAGTGAAGGACGATGGCCGTGGATGGATATGACAACATCCCAGACTCCCTCCCCATGAATTTGCTAGCATTTGGGGGGTTAGATCTCTAGCCCACTTGCACCACCACACTGAGTTTCATGCACACCTGAACAAGGTGTCAAAGGTGGGGGGCTCACCGCTTAGGTGTAAGGTGTTGGTGTAGGTGCCAACCCTGGTTAGCCTAGTTCCTCAGGCTGCCAACAAAAGTAACTTGTATGAAGTTATTATTTGCAACAGTATGGGAGGAAAGGCTCAGTTGCTCTTTCCACTTTCCCACACTATTGTATGTACTTTGTATATACATGTTTATTACAAGACAATTATACAATTATGTAATGGGAAATAAGGGGTGGGGTTACCACTCCTTACATTAGGCTTGATATGGATGATGGTGCCTCCTGTTAGAACTGGGCAAGGGCGGACGATTCCGGAGGGGAACCTGTCAGGATACCGAGCTGCTTGGAGCTAAGGTCAAGGGATCCAGTGGAAGTGGAGGTAAGACTAGGAAGGTCTGGGTCGGTCTCAATAGGAGAACTGCGAGGTGTGCTAGACAACACAGGCTCCAGCTGAGCAGTGAGGGGAAATGAGTTGTATCCCAGCCACTATGTTACTATGTACAACATACCTGAGCAGCGAGGGGAAATGAGAGAAGAAAGCTGGTCTTCCTGCTCGCTACTCAGGGTGTAATATACTGTAGCCCACACACACAGCTAATCTACGAGGCACTGTACATACCAACAATCAGTGATCCAGGTTTGTCTGGCTGTGTTGGATCATGGATCATGGAACATGGATCTTGGAGTGGGATCAGATCATAAGGCTGTACAGGGATCATGGATCATGGAATCTGGGTGATCATAGATCATGGAATCAGATCATGATGGTAAGTAGGCTGGAAGTGGCCGGAAGTGGGTGTTGTCACGACCGACAAATCCCGGGGCTCCGTCAGCGGCGAACCAATGCCGATAGGCGAATCCGCCGACCCCAAACCCATCCTAACCAGCCCCCAACCCCATGTCTGGCCTCCTGCCTTACTGCATGAGACTTGGCCAGTAATCAGAACCTAGACCCTGCCGGTATTCCGACCTTACCTCCAGTTCCTGAGCCCTTGGCACTCCCGGCATTCAGTCATGCCTGCCTTGTCTCCATCCGAACCATACTCATCACTTCCCACTATGTGGTCACAGCCATGCCCCGCTTCCGTGCATTCCGCACCCTCTGCCCACTCCGCACCCTCTGCCCACTCCACACCCTCTGCCCATCTCTGCATCTTCTGGCCACTTCTGGTTGCCCTTGACACCTCTGGTCAGGTCAACACCTCTGTACCTCTGTTGGCCTTCATGCTGTCCTTGTGTGACAGTGCTGGCAGATCAACCTCTGTTCATGGACTTGTGTCGGCACCGCACCGACCCCGCTTATTTGCGGACTTGTATCGGTGCCACGCGCTGACCTCCACTTTTCCTCTGGCCATTTGTCACTTGGCAGCTTATCATTCATTCTTTGCCGAGTGCCATTTATTGTTTGCTTCCCTGCCAATATTGGCATTTGATCCCCTCTTTATTGGCACTAGGTTATTGATCTCATTCAGTTATAACCCTTGCCACTTATTGTTTATTGATCTGTTCCTCGTTTCCAGTTCCCAGGCTCTTGTCCTTATTTAGTTTGACAATCCCTGCTTATCTCCGCGCCGGACCACGCCGGACTGACTGGCCTTTCTATATTCCCTCTTGCCTATTTATATACCTTGTAAATACTTTTGGGGACCTCAGTCTGAAATCAACTAGAGTACCCCCCCTGTCTGGTCTGAGTCTCTCCTTCTGCAAAGGGGGCTTCCCCCCTCTGAGTCCATGCTCGCGGAGTCTGCGCTCCTCCTATAGGTCCGCTCCACCCGCAAGTCTTGTTTGAAGTCTGCTGTGAGTGTCAATCCGTAAATATGGGATCTCCCCCAAACGTCAAGCTCAGGGCACAGCGCTCCACCTGAGTCGCTGAGGCCGTGATCCCATTCCGCTAACTCTGAACAGCGCTTCCGGACGCGCCACATAATTCTGCCCACATATCCGCGCGCGCGCTCCAACAGACCTCTGCATCACCTCCGACCCCAACTCAGACAGAAACCCATTCTGTCTTCAGTCCGTCTTTTGACAGTCTGCCCGACTCTGACAGTATTCCGACTCCAACAATAATCCTGCCTCTGACAGGTGTACTCTGACAGAACCGGAGACTTAGCAAGGAGGGACCTTGGCCTCAGCGACTCAAGCAGAGCGCTGTGCCATTGCTGTTTGTCCATTTGGTCCTTAATTTCACAGTAGGCGAGCAGGAAGTCTCTAGGGGGCATTTCAGGTCGATTTTAGACTAAGGGCTAAAACGAGTATGTACAAGTGCCGATATATATAATGGAGGGGGTGAAAGCACAAGGGATCCAAATCGGAACGAAGGCATTGTAAGCATGCTAGGGATGCAACCCAGCAGCAAACAAGAAAAGAAAAAGGGGGCAAAGAAAATCTTACTACCGGTAAGGCTGCACACGGTCCCGGTGCAAGTGCACGATACTAATAAACTCTTTTAAAACTCAGAACTCACCCTGGTCCTTCTTGGACAGTCGTCAGGGAGTCAGACTAAGCTCTTTAAACGTATGGAAGGGTCGCTCAACACCACAGTCTTTGTAGCACAGATGAGGGGTCCAACAACGTAAGTACAAGATAAACTGGGCATATTTAAAGAAAAAAGGGAAACCAGAACAAAAAATAAGAGAAAATAGCCGATGGATGGTGTCAATGGAAACAGGAAGAATGTTGAGAACTCGGCTAAGAAACAATAAGGCAAAAAAGTGTCCACAAGGTAGCAATAAAATCAATAATTGAGGCCCATAAGGTCAATATCAGCCATCAATCTCGCTTCTCCACCACATATCCGTCATCCTAACTCCCGTCCCGTCCTTCCATCCTCTTCTCCTGATCCGTCGCTGTCCTTCAAGCTCAAAATCGTGTGAATTGGTGGAAAATTGGTGGAGATATGGGGGAAATGGTGGATATCCGTGAATTTTGGGGAAGTGGCAATATGAGTCTTGAGAAAAAAGCATGGAAAAAATTGGAAAAAATGTGGAAATGTGCCGTGGGCATTGCGAATGTGTCGGAGGCTTGAGGGTGCTCGTTGGAGCCTCGAAAAACGTGGTTCTGGCCTTGTTTGTGTGGTACTTGCTGTGCCCTCCTACAGTGTCCAAACGGGGACAAAGGGATGACAGAAGCGGAGCGGTACCGAAGGTCATAAGGCAGAACCTGTGGTACGTCCGAAAGGAGGTAAGGAGGGCGAGGCCCAGAGGGGCAGGAGGATGAGGGGAAGTGGGGATGATGACTAACTGGCTAGAATGGGAAGAAGCAACAGTCCAAATAGGGATGAGGGGAAAATGCGAGAGATACATTACAAGCAGCAAAAGTGCCAAAGGTGATCCGTGGAGCTCAGAGGTTATGGAGGTTATGGAGGTGGGGTTGAAAGTCTGAGGAATATTGGCAATGGTGTTTACGTAGTATGAGGTCACCAATACAATGGACTAAGACCAAGGTGGAGTCAAAGTCGGAGGTAGGAACTATGATGGAGGCTTGGAGCAAAGGTATGATCGGTGTCCGAGTATGAAGTATGGGACAGCAGTGGAAGGTCGTAACTTGGTGGGGGATCGATGGAAGAGGGCCAGAGGGAAGAGAGAGGATGGACAATGGACGAAAAGTGTGGAGGAGAGGAAAGGTGTCAGGTCCAAAGGTGGGTATCAGAGTGGATGGGAGAAGAGTAGGAGGGTGACAGAAGGATGAAGGTGTTGTGGGGAGGAAGCAGATGAGTGGGAGGAGGGGTAGTAGGAGGATGGTGAGAGGGGTGGTGTTCGGTCCAAGGTGGGTATCGGAGCAGACAGAGATAGGAGAGGAGAGGGAAGGAGGTGTGGAGGTGGCATGGGAGGTGAGAGGAGGTGTGGTGCCAGGACCGAAGGTGAATATCGGAACGGACAGTGGTAGGGTAGGACTCTGGAGGTGGTGAAGGAGGAGGTCCGGGAGTTGGGTCAGGGTCGGGTATGCATGGATACAACACCTCCTATGGTGCCTGGGATGTTGGACCTTCGTTCACAGTGAGGTGTGTACTTCCATTAATCTTTAACACTGGTTGAACTTTGAGGGGAGTACTATGCAGTGTTGGATGGATGAGCCTAATTGGAGGGATGACCATTGGTGTATGTGATTCCGGAACGGCTTGCTCCATGAAGACGTTGTTTTCTGGGTCATCAGGGAGTTGCAGCCCACGTCCTTGCTGGGAACCTGAGCATACACCCAATGGGAACGTTTTCAGGTTTATTGCCTCTAACTTTACTGATGATGAAGACCTGCCTGGTTCAGGTGAGTTGCAAGGTGGTGGCTCAGGTACAATGCCATCATCCTGTGGACCTTTCACCTCGTTCTCTGGTACCACAGCTTCTTTCATTTGGTTGTGGCCCCCAGGTGTCACATGGGGAGGTTTTGTCTTCATGAGGGTGCGTGCATGAGTGGCTTTGGACTTCTTGTGTCGCTTGGAAGATGGGGATGATATTTGATTATCACCAACTGAATCTCCTTCCATCCCCACAGTTGGGGGGTTTGGCATGCTTTCCTTACGTTTTTGGGTTCATGTGGGGATGACTGCTGTCTTCACAATTGCCTTCCCTGTCTCGTGTTCAGGCAATACGTATTTCGTAATATTCCCTTTCACATCTGGTGCTGTCAGGGCACACCCACCTGACCCCGTGCCCCCGCACCACCCTACTCCACTTCCCCCGCTATGACTCCCCATTTTCCCTTTCCCCTTTTCTTCTTTCTCTCTATTTCTATTCCACAGTCAACTTCCCTTTCTCTATGTATCATTACACACCTAACCCCACTCCCCCGATCGCTGCACCTGCCATGCGCATTCCCACCTACAGAGTGGCACACCTCTGGGATCTCCCACAGAGATACCCAGGGAGGTGCAGCTGTGTGCGGAGATGACATGGCTCCCCCCACATGACCCCAACTGCATGTATATAATAGCGCCTGGGGTGGGAACAGAAGAAGCAGCCTTTTTCTCAACTTCCCACTTCAGACTAAGTGGTTGGGGATGCTCACCCTGCAACGGGACTGCTGCTACACATAGCCGACACCTGTCCCATCGAGTCCCTTACACCGGGACCTCACCACTTTCAGAGCTGTCCCTGACACCTGGGATCTCTTATGGAGATACCCAGGCGGATACGGCTGCATGCTGTCAGGGGACAGACCCTGGGTCCCCATGACCCCTCTCTATGGCCCACAGTCTAACCTGTGAACAGCCCTGTCCAGGGCACAACTCTACTGTGGGTAAGGAAGTGCATAGATAAAGGCAATGTAGAATACACTTGCCTACTGTGGGTAAGGAAGTGAGAAGAAGGTTAACTTCTCACTTTCCCACAGTGGCCCCAATAAGGCAAAAACTTCCGGGGATACCTGGAAGTCACATGAAGGATGGGAACCGGGCCTGGAGCATGCGGCGCACAGAGTGTGCAGGGCAGAAGTGCACATGTGGGTCTGGATGTGGGTCTGGGTGCGGGCTAGTCAGGGTGTGTGCCCTGACACATGCATAGATGACATGGCACCCCCCACATGACCTTCAACCACATGTACATAAACACAGCCTAAGTGGGAACTGAGAAGTAACCTTCTTCTCACACTTCCCACTTTAGTCTAAGTGGCCAGGGACACCCTTTGTGCCGGGCCCATTAGTATGCACACCCATGCTACACCCTATCAGGCCCTCAGTGCTGGGTGACACATCCAGGTGCTCTTGACCCTGGATCGCTCCCTGACAGGTGCATAGTGTAGCACCTCACGCTTCAGGTACTCATCTGGTAAGCCCAAACCGGTGAGTTGTGTTTTTTTGAAGTTTCATTGACATTTTCCTTACCATCTGTTATTTGTTCCACCCTCAACATCTGCTCCAGATCCTGGTGAGTGAGCTGCATTATACACTGTGCAGACTCGCATGGTAGTGACTTGTTCAAGCATGGGACACCATGATGCCAACCAACAAAATGGAGATGATGCTCAAGCATGAATGAAAGTATGTTGGCAACTCTCCAGTTGTGCCCAAGCTCAGTTATCCCTGTTGCCTCCACTACAAGTAGATGTCAGATGAGCAATCAGACAGCATGTGTCAGGGACAGCTCCGAAAGCGGTGAGGTCCTGGCATGAGGGACTCGATGGGACAGGTGTTGGCTATGCATAGTGGCAGTCCCGTTGCAGGGTGAGCATCCCTGACCACTTATTCTGAAGTGGGAAGTTGAATTATCATTAAAGGGGAAAAGCTACAGTACTTACCTGAAGTGGGAAGTTGAGAAGAAGGCTGCTTCTTCTGTTCCCACCCCAAGCACTATTATATACATGCGGTTAGGGTCACGTGGGGGAAGCCATGTCATCTCCACACACAGCTGCACCTCCCTGGGTGTCTCCATGGGAGATCCCAGAGGTGGCCACTCAACAGGTGGGAGTGCGCACAGCATGTGTGGCAATCAGGGGAGTGGGGTCAGGTATGTAGTGGTACATGGAGAAAAGGGAAATCGACTGTAGAATAGAAATAGAGAGAAAAGGGGAAAAGGGGAAAGGAGGGACAGGGAGTGATAGTGGGGGGAGTGGAGTAGAGCAGTACGGTGTGGGGTGCGGTGCAGGGTCAGGCAGGTGTGCCCTGACAGCATGGCAAAAGGACATACAAATGATTGCTTTAAGCTGCCCAGCACACTCAGTGCAGTGTTGGGGATGCAAGCCGTAGGTCTCATCTGCAAAGGTGAGACCTTCCTTCCTTTTTAATGTGGGTGTGTGGTAATCCACATCGTTCGCATCACCCTCAACCTCTGATTTGATGGCTGTGTTTCTGTCAGGGACAGCTCCGAAAGCGGCGAGGTCCTGGTGCAAGGGACTCGATGGGACAGGTGTCAGCTATGTGTAGCGGTGGTCCCGTCATGGGGTGAGCATCCCCGACCACTTAGTCTAAAGTGGGAAGTTGAGAAGAAGGCTTCTTCTTCTGTTCTCACCCCAGGCACTATTATATACATGCGGTTGGGGTCATGTGGGGGGAGCCACATCATCTCTGCACACAGCCACACCTCCCTGGGTATCTCCATGGGAGATCCCAGAGGTGTGCTGCTCTGTAGGCAGGAATGCATGCAGCAGGTGCGGCGATCAGGGGAGCGGGGTTAGGTGTGTAATGATAAGAAGGAAGAAAAGGGGAAAGGGAGAATGGGGAATGATAGTGGGGGAAGCAGAGTCGGGTGGTGCAGCAGTGCGGGGTCAGGTGGGGTGTGCCCTGACAGTTTCCCATTCCATTTCCCAAATACCTGTCCAGATCATTGCTGAAATGGACACTTTGCTTCATGTGCATCATGACAGTCTTCATGAGGCTTGAGGCACCAAATACCTTGCTGGTAGATTTATCAGGGTTCGTAAATGCCCCAAGATGTTGAAGAAAGGTTCTGCACCTATTTCAGCCAATGCAGGCTAGGAGACAAATTGCTCATACCTCTGTTTAATGGCATCGGGTTGATATGGTGTCAGGGACTGGTCTGGGGTCGAGAGTGTCTGGGTATATTGCCTGGTGCTGAGGGCCTGGTGGGGTATGAAGCAGGCACATGTGGCAATGGGCCCGGTGCAGGCAGGCATCCCTGAAGTGGGAATGGTGTGAATTGTCATTAGAAGGAAAACTAAACTACTTACCTGAAGTGGGAATGTGTCAGGGACAGCTCCAAAAGCGGCAAGGTCCCAGTGTGCGGGACTCGATGGGATGAGTAGCGGCTATGCATAGCAGCGGTCCCATCATGGGGTGAGCGTCCCCGACCACTTAATCTGAAGTGGGAATTGTCAGGGCACACCCACCTGACCTGTGAGGTCTTAGGGTGGCTCAGCACACAAGGCCGTAAGTGATACAAGATAGTGTATTTTACAGTGGTGTGTAAGCGGTTACCCGGAGGTTCCCACTTGCCCACGTGACTATGTGTATCTAATTTACATGTGACTCGGGGTTCGGGGCTATTGCCCTGACATGACCCCACGCCACACCCCATGCTGTACTGCACTACTCTGCTCCCCCCGCTATCACTCCCCATTCCTCCTTTCCCATTTTCCCCCTTTCTCTCTATTTCTATTCTATGGTCGATTTCCCTTTCTCCATGTACCACTACATACCTAACCCTGCCCCCCTGATCGCTGCACACACCACACACACTCCCACCTACTGAGTGGCCACCTCTGGGATCTCCTGTGGAGACACCCAGGGAGGTGTGGCTGTGTGCAGAGATGACATGGCTTCCTCCATGTGACCCTAGCTGCATGTATATAATAGCACCTGGGATGGGAACAGAAGAAGCAGCCTTCTTCTCAACTTCCCACTTCAGGTAAGTACCATAGCTTTTCCCCTTTAATGATAATCCAACTTCCCACTTCAGTGGTCAGGGACACTCACCCCATGATGGGATCGCCACTACACATAGCCAGTATTTGTCCCACTGAGTCCCGCACACTGGGACCTTGCCACTTTCGGAGCTGTCCCTGACAGGAATGTGAGTTATCATTAAAGGGGGGGACTACACTACTTGCCTGAAGTGGGAATGTGAGAAGAAGGCTACTTCTTCAGTTCCCACTCCAGCCATTATATACATACATGCAGGGTTGATCACGTGGGGTGTGCCACGTCACCCTCACACACAGCCATGTGTCAGGGCACACCTGCCTGACCCAGCTCCACCCAGCCCAACCTGACCCAGTACCCCACTGTCCACCCTTCCTTACCTCCTCCCCCTTTCCCTTCCTCCCTCCTCATTCTTCCTTCCTCACTCTCTTCCTATCCTACTTCTTCTTTATTCTCTCTTTATTCTACATGGATGACCTTCTTTGTATCAATGACCCATCTGCAGCGCGCCCACCATGTACCCAGCCTGGGCACCTTGGGTGACCTCCCGCTGTGCCCAGTACACGTGCCTGCACCGGATGCCCTCGGGATCTCCCACGGAGACACCCGGGTGGTTATGGCTGTGTGTGAGGGTGATGTGGCACCTGTCATGTGATCAAAGCTGCATGTATATAAACGAACCTGAAGTGGGAACCAAAGAAGTAGCCTTCTTCTGCTGTCAGGGACTCATCTGGGGTCGAGGGGGCCCAGGTGTAGTGTCCGGGGCTGAGAGCCTGGCAGGGGGCGGATCGGGCATGCATACTGACAGGCCCGATGCGGGACAGTGGCCCCTGGCTGCTTAGACTGAAGTGGAAAGTTGAGAAGAAGGCTACTTCTTCAGTTCCTACTTCAGGTTCGTTTATATACATGTGGCTTAGATCACATGACAGGTGCCACATCACCCTCGCACACAGCCATAACCACCTGGGTGTCTCTGTGGGAGATCCCGAGGGCATCTGGTGCAGGCACGTGTACTGGGCACAGTGGGAGGTCACCCAAGGTGCCCGGGCTGGGTACATGGTGGGCGCGCTGCAGATGGGTCATTGATACAAAGAAGGTCATCCATGTAGAATAAAGAGAGAATAAAGAAGAAGTAGGATAGGAAGAGAGTGAGGAAGGAAGAATGAGGAGGGAGGAAGGGAAAGGGGGAGGAGGTA